TTACATTCTCATGTCTAATTTGTATTCCAGTAAGATGTTGTATTTTATCATATTTCTTAGTTGATGTTCATACACTTGTGACACCGGATTTTGGGGGTTCTTATTGGATGTTTAGTACGGTAGTTCACGTAATTATCATTGTTTCACCCTGTGAATTCTATTTCATACTATTTTATTAATGGAAATTATGATTTCAAAAGGAATAAAAATGAGTAATTAAGTGGATCAATCATCGTTGGCTTGCCTGATGGCGGCATTAGGCGCCATCATGACCTATAGTGGATTTTGGGTCGTGACAGCTTGGTATCAGAGCATTAGGTTCACTTGGGTCTCATGAGTCATGAGCAAGTCTAGTAGGGTCTTGAGGATCGGTACGGAGACATCTGTGCTTATTTTTGAGAGGCTACAAGGCTATTAGGAGCACTTCCCTTCTTGATTCCTCATCGTGCGATTCGATTCCTTCGAGGCTTATGCCTTTATTTCCTTCCTATTCATTCTTGTATGGTGTTGGGCACTCGTGTCAGTTGGGCATCGAGGAGTTGCAGTGGTACTACAGACGTGGAGCAGGATGTTTCTTCCTACGCATTCGAGCAAGTTGCAGTGGTACTATAGATGTTCTGTCATTTCAGCTCAGTAGCTATATTTTTGATGGGGTCGAGACTACGCGCAGATTGCTATGATGTTCAGACGTTGTTATCGCACAATATTGGTGTAATTGGGGGGGGGGGGGGGGGGTATTTGTTTATGTGTCGAGGCAGCGAATGACTTTAAAGGAGGATTTCTCAGTACATGATTTACAGGTTCATCGTTTATTTCCAGCAAAGGAAAGGCAATCGGACTATGAATGTTCAGGGTTGGGTTGATGGAATAACGAGACTTGGCATTTTCGAGCGTGGTGGAATTTTCATTTGTGATGTGGTGTCGTTGTACTTGTTTGAAGGTATTAAGTTCGCCGGTGTTATGGTCTTGTTTAATTCGCCTTTGGGCAAGGTATTGTGAAAGGACGCTGGGGAAGCGGTCGTCAGAGATAGCGGTGTGCAACATTCAGAATTGAATCGGTGTTTCTAATGTTGATGGCTCAAGAAAGATGATCTTCTAGGAGGTTTAGAGTTGGTAGCAATTCACTGGTTCCGATGCTACATGTATGGATTTGATTTGAGGCAACATTTGGGCCGCGAAGAATGAGGAAAGACATGGCGGGAGGTATCTCTTGAGATAGTTGAATTACTAGCAGGTCAAGTATGAAAAGCAGAGGTCGAGTAGTTACTTAAAGAAGATGGTTTAGCCGAAGTGGGAGTGACAGAGTAGCTTATGGATTCTGTGGTAGGAGAGCCACATGGCTTGAGAAAAGTTTAGAGTGATTTGGGATTCATCGTGGACAGTGACTAGGTCTACGGACATAATTTGGAATGTTGGTGTGATGACCCAATATGTCATATTTAATTTTAAATAATCATTTTCGTGTTCTGAGATCTCGAAAAGCACTATTCAGCATTTCTCGACTTGCGTGCACAGTCCGTAAATTTTTCCAGAAAGTTTGTTTTATATGAAATATTGATTAAAATATGAAATAGAGCTTTAAAACTCAACTGAGTAATCAATCTAATTCTCTAGAGAGGCGCAACAAGAGCCCTAATTCTCTCTAGAGAGGCGACAAACAACAACAGTAACACCACACACAAAAATGGTCATTGTGCCATTGTCCAGTGGTGAAAATCCACCGGACCAGATCCAACAGTCGCATAACAACTCTGCGCACAAACCCTATGCGGGCGCTCTCACTGATTCTTCCCCCTCTGCTGCAACTGCCAATAATGGCGGAATTGTAAACATGCCAAAAAAACAATTGAAGATAGCTGCAACGTACTGCACTGTTTCTGAACCAAATCAGCTGATTCAAAGCCACGGAGATTACTCAACACCTCAATTACAATCGATACAAATAGTTTCAGACAACATCAACACACGAAACAACGACGCTACACAGATGTATAACGACAACAATTAGTTATTGGTTGCACATAGGGTGACAGATATCCAAAATGGTCAAAACCAATGCCACTATACTCCAATTAATCTGGATACTGATCCCAACTCTTCAAACAACAACCACGATGAACAACTTGATCCAACATGGTAGAATACAGTACACACAGAATCACACATACCATCTGTTCGACGAAATGCCAGGGTCAGTTTTAATGTTAATGTTGATGAATATATGAATGATTTTGCTTCACAAAGTCATGCTGAGATTAGTCGTCAAGAGAAGTTGCAAGAAAACACAAAAAATGAGGGTGATAAAAGGCAGTCACCTATAGCGCCACATGATGCCCATGGAGTTCCTGGTTTTTTAACTGGCCTAACCCCAGTTGAAACTCAACTGGAAAGAAAAAATTATCCACATGTTGCTGAAGGTCACCCACAAGTCCAATCTCAAGCTCCAGTTGATATTATTGATACTCGACCACTGGCGGAAAACTTGAGTGTCTCACTAACTGCCCATGGAATTCCCTGTGTTTCACCTGTCGAGATAATCTCTATTGATAAGGAAAAGGAAATCACAACCACACCTACTACTAAAGTGCAGCCAATCAATACAACAACAAATTTGGCATCGTCGGATAATATTTTTGCAACACATGTGTCTAATACAGCAAATACTGATTTACCTAGGAATGTCAATGCTCAAACTAATCCCCAACTCAATCAAATATCAATGGCAACAAATTTTCCTAAGATCTCTACCAACTTTGACAAAGCATCTACTTTCCAGAATAAAAATAATACTAAGACTAAGCATCATCAGACTAATGCTCAGATGTTAACACCAAAAGAAAATACACAACTTACCAAACACCATAGTCAAACAATCAGTAAATCTGATGCAAACACATATCCAAGCATCTTAACCAGTTTTTAATACAAAAGCACACACACTTCGTACAACTATCTGCAAATGTCCACCAAAGTACCCAGTTTTACTCAACAAAATCAGCAACCAAACTAAACCAAACAGAAGTTACTGCCCAGCCACCTAAACCAACTAACTATCATGCCCCATCACCTCCTACCACGACTCATTCACTTGCTACAAAATTAAGAGCAAGGCAGGCAGCAGATATAGCCCCAATAGAGTTCACACCCCCAAAAATAACTACCAAACATGGCTAACCAGCTGTCATATTTACTAGGAAGGACTACATGATCACACTTGCATCCAGATGCCAATATAAAATTGTAGGGACATTCCTTAACACAATGCCTCGAATGGAGGTGATCAGGAGAAGCTTCATAGCACAAACAGAATTAAGAGGAGGAGTTAAAATAGCCCATTTCAATGCTCGCACAGTCTATATTGATCTAGATAATGAATACGATTACACAACTTTCTGGACAAAAACCTTCATGTATATACAAGGTCAAAGAATGGAATTACAAGCTTGGACACCTAACTTCAACTCGAATGAGGATAACCCAATTGTTCCTGTTTGGATAGTCATTCCTGAACTACCATGGCATTTCTACTACATAGAGGTCCTATCTGTATTGTTGTCTCCTATTGGTAAGGTATTGCATCTTGACCTAGCCTCTATGCAGAAAATAAGAGGAAGTGTAGATAAAGTCAAAATGCAGGTTGACTTGACTCAATTTAGGCCTCATCATGTTTGGCTAGGCTTTGATGAAGATCATGATGTTAACGGGGATGGACATTGGCTAGAAGTGGTATATGAGGATCTCCCAACATATTGCTCACATTGCAAGCGCTTAGGACATGAAGACTACTCATGTCCTATTCGAGAAAGAGAAGAAGAAGACAAGAAAAAAGCAGCTGCTGAAACCCCACAAACTCAAACCAAACAGATATCAAACAATACTGAAAGAGCAAATAAAATACAACATCAAAAGGAGCAGATCATACCAGGTCAACACAAAGAACAAAACTACAACCAAAAAGTAGTGGTACAAGACCAAAATGAAGAACAACAGGGAAAAATCAAACCTACAGCACAATAACCAATAAATGCAAACCACTCCAAGGATCAATGGCAATCTCAGAAGAAGAAGAACTTCAAGGGTATCAACCAAAAAAACAAGCAAGAGAAACACAAACAACCTTATGAACAAATGAATGCAAAACAGATAACCATAAAAACTCAGAACCATGGTTCACAGACCAATCCACAAACTGACACGCAAGTGCTCTGGAGAATATGGCAGAATCAAGTGCCAGGACTACTGGTATTGATGCTGCAACTGATGGAGATAACAATGGCAGGGACCAGATAAACGACAAACAACACAAGCATAAAACAAACATTATTCAAGAGAACCAACATATCAGGACTGCTGACAAATCCAGTGGCAATCCAAAAGATCCAGGAATTGGTACAAACAATACTGCTACAATTGTTGGGGTATCACCAGCTGTGACAAAGGAAAATACTATTGAATGGGTTCAAAGGAGTTTTGGAATGAACAAGGAAGTCCTTAATGTTACACTCAACCACTAATGTCAGGATATTCCCTCACAGACATGTATGGAATCTCCTATGCCTAATGGCAATACAACAGGATCAGTACAACTAGGGACCAAACTAAAAAGTTATGGAACAGGGAAACAAACAATACCCAGAGTTGATGATCATAAGAAAAAGCCAATTCCAGAACAGCTTCACAATGCGTTACCCAACAATGCTTAGAGTAGCAACACAACTGGAAAACTTCTAGCCACTGTTCAAGGACCAATAGTGGCAACCATACCAAATGACAAAGTCAGTGATGATGCTCCAGAACCCCAAGATGTGGTCGGGAAGGATGCTATCGTTGTATATGAACAGAATGGTACAGCTACTGTACCAAAGGAGTTAACTGCAATTAATACAATGGCTATAGCTTGTACATCAGATACATGATCTCCAATACAGATCCAAGTAACTGTACCATTGAAATCTCCCAATCATGTAATGCATGACATTATTACACAAAACCAATAGCCAATGGAACTTCATATTCCCTTGATCAATAAAGAGCAACTAGAAGATGAAGGTGACAATGAATCTATTCCTGGGAACTTCAAGGTTGTTGCAAGAGAAGGAGATTTGTCACCTAGGTTGTCTACTAAACAGGGGAAGAAAGGAAAAAGCAAAACCAATTAAAGGAACAACTGCCATCTACAAGAATACTGCCCAAAAGGGTAGCCTCCACGACTAGATGATGATTAAAATACTCATATGGAATATTAGGTCTGTTAAGACACAACAGGCCTTTCAGAGAGTTATCAACATGCAAAAGGAACATGGTTTTTTGGTTATAGAACTTATGGAACCTTTTCAAAATCAAAGATTTATTCAAAACTACAGGAGGAGACTAGGCATGGATACTGCCATTTCAAATGTCAATGGCAAGATATGGATTTTTCTTGATTCAGTCGTGTAGTGGGACTTATTAATTGACACAGAACAACAACTTACTATCGGAGTCTATCATCAAGATATTGGTAAATATATCATGATGACTTTCGTATATGCTAAGTGCTTATCACTGGACAGATTAGAATTATGGGACAGTTTATACTACCTTGCAAGTGGCATAAAACTATCATGGCTAGTTGGAGGGGATTTTAATGTGCTTTTGAATGAAGAAGAGAAAATTGGAGGGCTTCCAGTCTATCGTCCAGAATATGAAGACTTTGCCTTCTGTGTAAACTCATGTGAACTCTTTGACACTGGTTACAAAGGAAGTCCCTTCATATGGTGGAATGGGAGGCCAAATATAGAATGCATATTTAAAAGACTGGACAAAATATTTGTCAATTCCCCATTCCAATCTCTATTCCCAACTACAGAGGTCGAACATCTTATTAGAACAGGCTCGGATCATGCACCACTGTTTATGACCTGTGGTGACACGACAACCATATTTACTAAACCATTCAAGTTTTTGAATTTCTGGACAAAACATGCCAATTTTAGGGAGGTGGTTCGACAAAATTGGCAAGCTGACTTCATAGGTGACCCCTTTTAGATGTTCAAACAGAAATTAAAAAGAGTTAAGATTACTCTTTCAAAATGGAGTAGGCTCACTTACGGGGACATCTTCAAGAACCCAGCTTTAAGGGAAGATGTGGTCAGAATAAAGGAAATGCTTTTTGAAGAAGAACCTACAATTGAGAATATAATTGTACTTCAAAAGGCACAGTCCGAATTAAAGAGATATCTGAGCAGAGAGGAACAATATTGGAAACAAAAAGCAGGTATGTCCTGGTTTGCAGAAGGAGACAGAAACACTAATTTCTTTCATAACCATGTCAATGGTAAAAGGCAGAAACTCCAACTGAAGAGGATCCAGAACCATGATGGTAATTGGATTGAGTCTCAAGAACGGATGGCTGATGCATCAATTGAATTTTTCCAGAAATAGTTCATACATAAAGCTGATCATACAAGTTCTGAGCTCCTCAACAATGTGCCCTCAATGGTGTCTTGTGATCAAAACATAGAACTTTGTAGAATTCCTACAATAGAGGAGGTAAAGGCAGCGGTTTTTGCACTAAGTGATGAAAGTGCAAGTGGGCCAGATGGTTTCATAGGCATTTTCTTTCAAGAATCCTGGGATATAATAGGGGAAGACATACATGAGATGCTGAAACTATTTTATGGAGGAAGTTCCTTACCTAAGTCTATAACTCACACAAACCTTGTCTTGCTACCAAAAAAACAAACAGGTTCAAACATTTAATGACCTAAGGCCATTTTGTAAATAAAGTTATCTCCAGAGTTGTTCATGATAGGTTGGAAAAAATACCGCCTTCTCTAATCTCTTCCAATCAGTCAGGATTTGTCAAGGGGAGAAGTATATTTGAAAACATTCTATTAACACAAGAGATTGTTACTAACATAAGATTAATGGGAAAACCTGCCAATGTAGTTATCAAACTTGACATGGCAAAGGCATATGATAGGGTCTCATGGAAGTATTTAATGCATGTTTTGAGGAAAATGGGATTTGCAGAATGCTTCATCAACATGATATGGAATTTAATTTCTAACAACTGGTATTCTGTTCTGATTAATGGTCAAGCCTCAGGATTCTTTCACTCAATAAGAGGGGTCAAGCAAGGGGATCCTCTCTCTCTCCAGCCCTATTCATACTCTCTTCAGAAGTACTGTCTAGGTCGTTAAATAAACTATTTGAAGATACGAGGTTCAAGGGCTTTGGGATGCCTAAATGGACGGATCCATTGAATCATTTGGCCTACGCAGACGACACTATAATATTTTTTTCAGATGATCCATACTCTTTAAGGAAAATTATAGATGTATTGTCCAAGTATGAGCACACATCAGGCCAAATTATTAATAAGACAAAGAATTCCTTTTATATGCACTCTAATGTGTCCTCAACAAAGTCTAGCTCTATAGGTATTATCACTGGATTTTCAAGGGGTGAATTTCCATTTACTTATCTTGGTTGTCCAATATTCTACACAATAAGAAGAAAGGATTATTACAATGACCTGATCAAAAATGTAAAGGCAAAACTGCACTCTTGGAAAGGGAAGCTACTATCCTATGGGGGGGGGGAAGCTACATTAATCTCTAGTGTCCTACAGAGCATGCCAACACACATCCTTTCTGTCATTGATCCACCTAAAAATGTACTTGAACACCTTCATAAAACCTTTGCGAGATTCTTTTGGAGTAACAAGGAAGAAGGTAGAAGAAGACACTAGACAAAATGGCAAAATCTATGCCTACCAAAGGAAGAAGGGGGTGTAGGTTTTAGATCACTGCATGATGTATCAAAAGCTTTATTTGCCAAATTATGGTGGAAGTTTAGGATATCCAAGTCCTTATGGTCTCACTTTATGTGGAACAAGTACTGTAAAAAGGAACCCCGACAAATGTCCAATTTAGACAAGGATCTCATGTATGGAGAAAAATGTTTGACGCTAGGGAAGAGGTAGAGCATGAAATACTATGGAAAATGAATAGGGGTTCTACTAATGTTTGGCATGAGAATTGGATTGGTTTGGGAGCCTTGTACCATATTGTTCCAAATGACTATACAATCAATGAAGATATATATGAAGTAGCTGAATTGAGAATGGATGATACCTGGGATGAACAACTACTAGCGCAATCTTTCCCTGCAGACATTGCTCAACATATCAGGCAAGAAGTCATATTTGGCACTACTGAAGATTCCTGGGGTGTTCCTAGATGGATGCCTACACCTTCAGGAAATTTCTCTGTTAGTAGTGCTTGGAATATTTTGAGGCATAGATCCATGCAAATCCTGACTATAGTAAGATATGGATTAAAGGTCTACCTTTTAAAATCTCATTCTTCTTATGGAGATTGTGGAAGGGGAAGATTCCTACTGGAGATTTATGGAGAAGAGTGGGTATTTGGTAGTGTCTAAGTGTTGGTGCTGTTCATAACCGCAAGAAGAGTCTTTTCAACACTTGTTCTTAACTAGTGAAACTGCAACCAGAGTATGAAGAAAATTCCTTCAAGCAACAGGTTTGGTGGTCAATCTGGTACAGGTACATCAAGTAATAAGAATATGGTAGAATGCAAAGTGCTGTCCTATACTAATGCCATTATTTTAGGCAGCTCCAGCTGTAATCACATGGGAACTTTGGAAGAGGAGAAATACAATGAAGTATGGTGGTGCAATTTCCTGCAATAAGGTAATTCATGAAGTGAATAAGACTTTACATTACCTAGCAAGGATGAGGTACCCATGGCTGTCCAAAATTCCTCCTCTATAGTCAGATATGATCAGCTTCTTTGAAGGTTACAAGCCATATGTGGGGACTAAGACAGTTACATGGCAGCTTCCTTATGAAGGGTGGTTCAAATATAATACTGATGGTGCATCAAGGGGCAATCCTAGACCAAGCTCTTATGGGTTTTGTGTTCGAGATCATGCAGGAAATTTGGTGTTTGCAAAAGCACAGGAGATAGGAAAGACAACTAACATAGTGGCAGAAGCAAAGGCAATTGTGGAGAGGCTGGCATACTGTGTGGAAAGGTAGCTACATCCATTGATTATGGAGACTGATTCCTTAGTAATGAGGAAGATAATTGATGGAGAATGGGAAACTCCTTGGTGTATAGGTACTTAAGTAAGGAAGATCAAGCATATAAAGAACAACTACAATGTTATCTTTCAGCATGTACTAAGGGAAGGGAACAATGTTGCTGATTTTTTTGCTAATCTAGCTTTCAATTTTGCAAGTACACACACATTTCAGTCATTTAATGAATTGCCAAGTGCAGGAAAAAAACTCATCAGCATGTACAAATCACAAATTTCTAACCTTCAGATTAGGATTGTAAAGAGAAGAGAACCTGATTAATGAGCTCAACATATTTTTAAAGAAAAGTACGCTAGTAAAACTCCACCAACTAGCCTTCCTAAACTTGCAGTTTTTCTCATTTGTATGGCGTACATACTTGTTTGGTTATAATTATAGCTAACATTGCACAACACCAGACTATAGGGGACCTGTTTCCCCTTCCTCACTCTACTGGGATTAGACACTCCAGGCTAGAAGGGTTTAGTATCCTCAGAAAACTAAGGCAATTACATGGGCTAAGTGTTTCTGCACATCTCCAGGGATTTACACACCACTTGTAAATGCTTGGCTGCAGATATCAAAGACATGCACTGCCTCTGCAAATGTTTGGTTATAACTGTTATATCTCTCACTCTACTAGGCTTAAATATGTGTGCTGAATACACCAGGATTGAAGAGTGTAGATGCTTGAGTAGTGTTGACTGTAAGTTATAATCAATGTCCTCAGAAAATTAAGGCAATTGCATGGTCAAATTGTTTATGCACATCTCCAGGTTTATACACTTCTGTTGTAACCACTTGTAAATGCCAATACTACTCTCAACAATATATTGGCATATCATTTGCCAAGGTGTATAACAATTGTTGAATCTGAAGGTCAAATAAATGCCAATTGAAGGGTGTAGATGCCACAATCTGGGAGCACAGACAGATTTCATAACCCTGTTTGCTACATTTTGCAGGACATCAAGATCAGAAAACTGAGGCAAAGACTAGTCTCATACAGATATCAAAGGAAGCCATATTTTCTTGGTTATAACTGCTCTCTCTCTTTCACTCTACTGGGCTTACATACACCAGGCTTAAAAGGTGTAGATGCTTGAGTAGTGGTGACTATAATATGCCTGGATGCATCACCAGTTTTGCTCTCAACAATTATAAAAGGCTAAGAAAACTGAGGCTATAATATACAACCAGCACTGCTTCTGCACAGAAGACAATCAAGAAATGATTAGGCTTCAGCAGAACCAGTACTTCTTTATTAACTACCAGTTGGAGTTGCCACTACTTAGGGCTATGTGGGAATGACTTGAAGATAACCAACAAGGGAATCACAATCTAGCACCAACAACAGTCCTCATCACTCATCACCCAGTCAATGACAAAGTTCCCAGCACACACAGAACCTGGGAGCACAATATTGCATCTTAACTTGGTTGCTTCATTTTGCAGGGATCAATAATAGGAGCAGAAAACTGAGGCAAAGACTAGTTCCATATAGATGCCAGAGGATGTTCAACCTCTACTGGGTTTACAGTATATGCTCAACCTGTACTGCTTTTGCACAAAAGACAATCACAAAAATGATTGGTCTTCAGCAGAACCATTAGTGATGTTCAATGTCTGGTCTATCATTAACTGCCAGTTGGAGTTTCCACTGTTTCTTGCTATGTGGGAATGACTTAAAGATAACCAACAAGAGAATCACAAGCCAACACCAATAACAACCTTTCCTCACCACTCACCACTTAGTCATCTTCAAAGTTCTCAACACACACAGAAACCTAGGAGCACAACACTACATCCTAACTTGATTTCTTTATTTTGCAGATTTCATAGACAGGATAAGATTTCTTTGGCAAGTAAACAGAAGGGTGTAGACATTACAAATAATCAGTAGAACACTGGTTCTACACAACATATGTTTGCTGCTCTCTGAAGAGTCTTACTGCCTATTTGTGCTAGTATCAACTCATAGAGGTATTAGTATATTGCAATGATCATTATGGAAGACTCTCAGCACATTACAGCAACCAAATATCAGCAACACAGATGACAATACAATCATGCTATACAGATCAATTTCAATCAGCTTGAAGGGGTCAACAATCTGTTGTGCATACTCAGAAACAACACAGATATCAGTACACATCAGGATCAGAAAAATGGAAGCTATCCTGCTATACATCACAAGCAGCTTGGCTTGGACATCAATCAGATGTACCTACACAGACAGTTATCACATGGCATGAGCTTAACTGCACTGTAATGCTTGTGTGGTGTTAGACTATTTCTCAGTGGTATTAGCATGTTATCATGCTCATTCTAGGGG